CAGATTGCCATCCCGCTCACTCTCTATCAAAAAGCTAAGATAACTATATATGTATTGTCCAGGAGTTGCATGCAAATTAGAATTCTGTTGCACGTATAATATGCATAGCTTTTTATACGAGCAGCAGAATTAAAAGAAAGTCAAATGTATCTCATGTACTCGAGACTGTTCTATATCTAATAAACAATTTGATCCTCAAATATAAACAACAAATTGTTACCACGTATGTTTAAAATAAATATCATAACTCATATCGCCCATCGCTAACTTATTAGTACAATATTAATAGCTAACTAACAATCGCAATATATCACACTATCGCCACAGGGCATAGTTTGCTGCATTCATCAAAGTCATAGAAACACTTTATTGCTACTTAATTCAATTTTACTCACCCCTTACACCCTTATTTTACTTAACTAATTTACGAAAAATATTTATATATTATACATTTTACAGAAGGCTAACTAATCCCAATGATTCAATCGCTAAAATATACAGAAAACTAAAAACTAGCACGCTACTCCATGCGCACGAAATTTAAAAAAAACTTGATAAGTTGCATATGTGTTCTTCCAGACTATGTTCTATCTATCGAGATTTGTGTAACCCTTCTGGAGGTATCTTCTAACAAACATTCATCTAAACATTAGCATTTATAATATTAGTAAGATAAAGATTGGTTTAATTTAAATTACTTATTTACTTCTGGACACCCTATCTGCAAAGATTAACCGTTACACAAACAGTTAATTAGCTCTCATAACAACAACATAGATTACATTAATTGTGTTTTGTTCGCGCCGTTCATAAAAGATTGTGCGAAACGCAAAACTGTTGCCGCGAAACAATGGGAACATGGAGTGTTTGGCCTGCCGGCTAAGTGGGCCAGCAGTTGTGAAAAACGTTCCAGCTAACGCCCTCTTTAACAGCTTTTGTAAGAGAAAAAAGGTGTTTATTTTTATATTGTCTCGACCCTTAATCTTGACAAATATCAACCTACTTTCTAAAACCTTTATTAAGGAACACTCTGACATTTAAGATAAGTGTGACTAATTTCACATGTCTTCGTCTGTTTTTAATCTTTGCTAAAACATTTTACTCTTTAATTTTATATTACCGAGAAGAAAGTTCCTTAAATAACAACCACGTGTACATATGAAGTTGAATACAAACGATCGAATGAACAGCACTTAATTTCTGCAGCATAAGTAATATGTTCCGAGATAATCGCACTAATATTATATCTTACTAATCTTACTTAATAACTAGCTGTTGCCCGCGACTCCGTCCGGGTTTATATATAAAAAACCTAATTAGTGTAGCCCACCCATCCATCCATCCACATCACATCCATATAAACATTCGCATTTATAATATTAGTGAGTAAAAGCAGCTTTTCAAGGCATAAATTCGAAAAAAAAATGAATAAGTAGTATCCTATGTCCTTCTCCTGGCTCTAAGCTACCTCCTCACCAATTTTCAGCCATATCGGTAAAGCCTTTCTTGAGTTATAAATAGTGTAGCTAACAAGTTGAAAAAAATTGGCCCAGATATAGATCTAGTCTGGAAGAAGCCATAAGTTACTATTTTTTATTTAATTCCACGCGGACGGAGTCGCGGACGTCAGTTTTTGATTTTTTTTTTGATAAAATCAAAATATAATGTCACTATGCTTGATAAATATCTAAATCTAAAAGTAAATCGATAAAATATGATGTGCAAACTGTCAGTGTATTTTGTATACAGCATTTTTTTTAAATATACTCAAATAACATAAAAAAACAACAATGTAATTGTTGTATAACTTTTTGTATCACGATTTCAAACATTAAAAAAAAGACAAAATAAAAGATCCGATAACAATCAAGACGCGCCGAATCACAACGAATCGAGTCGTCTCGGCGAAAATAAATCGATGTTGTAATAACATCGATTCATTTATTTTATCAGAATTAGTCATCGATATTGAACATCGTGGTGTCTTATGACATACGATGACTTCGTGGTATTTCATTTTAAAGAACAGGCAAATATAAAACGAATTAATTGTATTATTAATCAACATTTTTGTAAATCATATTTAATTGTTGAATTGATATAAACTTTTCGCGGAATTTAGACGCTAGCGGTACCTAGCAAGGGATCTTTTTAATTTAGGGGTGCGGCAGTGCCCACATAAGAATAATCTACTATACCGGACTTTACATTTAAAATGATTGTTTCTGCAAATAAAAAAAAATTGAAAAAAAAATCCAACATATCCTGTTAAGCTGCCACGATAGGGTGACAACCCTATTCAAAGAACAACCAACGTCATAGAAATGCTTTCACCGGGCAGCGGGACGTCTCAAATACAATAAGTGTTCCGGAAAGTGGAAAACTCCGCGTGAGTCCATAAACGTGACCAACCCAATGTATAACACTGTGGGATATTTCTGAACTATAAACTACTCATTATATTCGCAAATTCAAATATATTTTAATGCGAATAATTACGCTATTAAACCATGGTGCCAGGGTTGTCAAAAAATACAAAAAAAAATCTTTTTAAACTTTAAATATGTACTTACCAATCCACTTGGCTTGGCGATGCGATGTAACGAAATCTGAAAAAGAAAATTTTATCGATCACTATCTTTCTAATATTATGGATGGATGGATAGATAGCTCAACGGATCTTGATAACATTTGGCACACATGTAGAACATAGTCTGGGACAACACCTAGGCTACAAATTATGTTTTTTATTTATTCCGCGCGGACGCAGTCGCAGGCGACAGCTAGTTAAATAAACAGTTAAATCATAATAGATTGAGATAAAAAAAACCTGCAGTGATTTTCTGGAATAAATAACATAATATGCATTCAAAATAATTGGACACAACTGCGCTGTGATTAGTCAAAACATTGAGAATATTTACCAAACAACAATTTTTTTATCATGTGACGAAAGTTTAATACGTGCCTACTAATATAATTAAATCTATACATCAAACCCGATTACACAGACATCAAATGTTACGATGTAAACTATAAAATAAACTATCAAAGACCCGGTGGCCTATTTCATTTAACGCCTGCCCCATTTCTAACTGCATTGAAGACGCGGAAATGGAGCGAACGAAACATCCGACTGGCGCGAATCGAATACTCGATATTTTTAATTGAAATGCTGTCAATGCACATATTTACCAACAAATTCTTAGGGTATAAAGTTATATCACATTAGCTTCATAGAGGATTTTAATTAAAATTGTACTTTGGGTACACTTTCTGAATTTGTTTGTGCATAAGATTAATTGAGCCAATAATTTCCATTAATTATTCTAAATGTTATTACAATTTCAAGCCAAAATTATAGTATTGAAGGCTCTATTGCCATTAAAATGACTTAGATATGTTATTTAATTGTATATAATATCTTTAAATACATACATTTACTCCATATTAGTTTTAAATATGCTATACAATTGGTAATAATGGTGATATTCCACCTTTAAAATGACAGTTTAACGTAATGTTACCAATAGGATGCAGCTTTTAAATATGTCTGTATGAAAAAAGGTAAGTGGTAAAGCTAATTTGTTATTTTATAAAAATAGGCAGAGCTTGCCTTGTTGCAAGGATCAAGGCAATTTTTCTGTCAGTGAAACACCGCAAAATTACCTGACTGTACATGCAATATAGTATGAACACAACAGAGAAAGTGCAGTTAGACTAAAAAATATAGAATTTACGTTAATCCTATATTTTTGTAAGCCTATCCATTTATACAGACCAGTTTCAATCATCATCTTTTCCTAAAAACAAAAACTTGTGCATACAAATTGAACAAATGTTATATATGGCTTCATAATAAATTATTAGGCCATGTTTATCAAAGGCATATCTAATCAGAGTGTTCAACAATTTGTTGATAGTGATAGTGTCTTCTTATTAATATATTATCAAAACTTCTAGTCAAATATACAAAAGGTAACATCTTGAAGAAAATTAAATAAGTAACTTTTAATCCTCTGTGCAAATTCTTAATTTGTGTTATTGATCCTGAGCATCATCTCTATTAACTTATCCTACTTATATGGAGTTGAGCACAGGTTTTTTGTTAGCATTGATGTTTATTATTTCATTTCATAGAGGTGACATAATTGTATATTATTAAGAGAGTACTAAGTTAATACACATGTGATAATGTTAAGATCTTATTTTAAAATTTATATTATTATGAGTATAATAATTTATATATATATACCCTCATAATATTTTTACTTATGTAATATTATAATTAAGTCGAAAGTAACTACAAAGTTGATAGTCAGACAATAAATGTAAGTTTATCTCCTTTAGCTTTAGTGTCAACTTCGATCGACCATCTAATAAGGACCCACAACTTTAAACCGGTCGAAGAATAAGTCTGTATGACCCATAAAATGTTGGTTCATGTACGAGTTTACTAAAATAACATAGTAGTGTACTATAAACATGCAAATCCACTACATATATTGATATTAAGTAAAATAAACTATAAAACATTTTATTTGAAAACTAAAAGGTAATCGTTTTGTTCAACAATTAAAAACTTACTTTTGCGATACTAAAGCGATAAGTATGAAAACATACCTTTTGTACTGATTTGTTCACTTTATATCATACAGTAAAAATATTGCAATCACTTATAATTTAAATGAAAATAACAACAAACACAATTGAAACATTGACACCATTGATGATTGACACCCATTGACCCAAAGACAATAGAGTAGAGTTTAAAGCAGTTTTGGTAATAAATGTTGGGTAGTTAAATAAAAAGCACAAGATAGATAATCGTCTGGTAACTGGATTTTTATAGTTCGGAAACCTTAAATAGTCTTTACAAATATTTTAAAGTCTTTAAAGAATTTCCCTTCGTTTTTGCTTTCCAATGTTTCCAAATTTTTTGTATTGGTAAATGTCACTGTCAAATCTTAATTGTCAACAAAATTTTGACAGTGGTCTTTGATCTTTTGTGATGTCGTAAAGTTGACTTCTATGGTATAAAAGTGTTAAAAACATATTTTCCTTCCTTCTTCGCAGTTGCGTCAAATGTGTTTCGTGTTTGTTTATTGCAAAATATTACACCGGGAAACAGTGCTACGTTAATGCTTTTGAGATTGTCATAGCAAAGAATATTTTGTGTTTTATCCAAAACTTTTATTATTAAGCATAAAATGAGCCAACCAGTAAAAGATTTCGAAGTTAACTCTGATCCCACCTTATCAAACACTGCTCTACCTCATATAGAAGGTCCATCGTTTAGAAATCCGATGCCATCTACTTCAAATGGTAACATTGGGCCACCAGTTCTTCCACCGCGCCCTGATTTTGGAATGCAGCCCAGTTATAATATGAATCCTGGTTACTCCTATGGTATGGGTGGTATGAATGGTTCGTACGGGATGGGAGGATATGGTGGTTTTGGATATGGAGGAATGAATGGTGGTTATGGAATGGGAGGAATGGGGATAGGCATGGGTGGTCCATATGGAGGATACAATAGATATGGACCAATGTATGGTGGAGATATTGAAAGCAGGTATGCTGTTATTTTTGAACAATTTGTCTTCTACCCTTAGGATTTTACCCAATTTTCATCAAAATCTATCAGCAAATAAATATTGATTTTTTATAAAGTTTAATATGGTTCAGGTCATTATTTTGGTTCATTGCATTAATAGAATCAATTAACATAAACATACATGTATTGAGTATGTGCTAATAACTTGGTACCTTACAAAGTGTGCCTTATGAATAGAATGTTGATAATAATTTTAAGTAATGCACCAATTACCTTTAAGATCAAAATGTGGTTTTGATTTGCTTTTTATCATTGAAAATATGATTAAAATTAGTAAACTGTACTATAAAAAAGTAATAATATGTACCCTGGCAACTACTTTCTCAATTTAAAAATATAACTTGTGAAATCTTTAACATAGACAATATTTTGATTTTTTTTAGATTCATACAAATGGCAGAAGAGAATTCAAGGCCAGCATTTGATTCAATACAGAGTTTAGTAAATGCTGTTGGCAGTATTGCTATGATGTTGGAGAACACATTTTTTGCATTGACTAGCTCTTTTAGAGCTATACTGGGTAAGTAAAAATCTCCCAAAGAGAAAAAATTATGATAGAGCTATTACATGTTCCGTAATTGTTTATGTTTGTTCTAAAATTAACTATCTTTTAGTTTTTACTTTTATTTGTACTATTTCGTCAAATAATGTGGCTGTATATCTAATTTTACAGTGATATTAATTTGTTCAATGAGTTGAATTTTGGAAGGCATTTTGATTAATGATAGTTTTGTTAACAGGTGTAGCAGAAAACTTTGGCCGTCTCCGATCTTTGTTTGCACAATTCTGGTCAACATTTGCAGTTGTCCGTACTCTGAACTGGCTGGTGAGGAAATTATTGGTCATCCTTGGCATCAGAACGGAAAATGAATTCAAGGTCAGTTATCATATTACATTGAATAATATTTCCAAAAAATATGTACACTTTAAAAGTTTTTTGTCTAATGAAATTAATGCTTCTTGTTATGTCTAGATTAATTTCTATAGACAGCAATTTCATGAGATTTTCCTAAACAGACTAAATAATTTACGAACATATTAATTATTATGTCTTACTAATATTATAAATTGGAATGTTTAGATGGATGAATGGATGGAAGTTTCTTTGAAGGTATCTCTAGAATGGCTGTACATATCTTGCTGAAATTTGGTACTATTACTACTAATTAAGTTATTTTTTTAATTACGCGCGGACGGAGTCGTTAGCGACAGCTATTCAATAATGATAGAATGGTCTAATAATTAAAAATAATATGGGATTAAAATATGTTATTACATCTTCAAGGTGTACTGCACATCAGTTGTTTTTTATCTTTAATATTTTATTGCTATCATATTTGTTTATGTTCTGTTTGATAAGCTGCTGTTATATAAAATACCAAATTACACTTCGTGCGCCATTTTACGAATTTATTCTTTTAGTGTTATACTTTTTAATTGACTGTAAATATTGCAGGTGCAAAATTAATGTTCTATGATAATGCATATGTTTTATTTAAAAAGGTTTTGTTTTTTTTTTAATAAATAATTCCTATGATTATTCACAGTAAATATGTTGTATCTTTGCTTGATCATTTCTTATATTTATTTATATATTTTTAACTGATAACACTTTTCTTAACAAAACAACAGTAATTTTTGTCGTGAATATATATGTAGTTTGTATCTATATTTCATTTAAATCTGTATGAAAATATATTGCTATCTTTGTTTATTTTAAGGAAATGGATAAAGATGGCAATAAATTTTCCTATGAGTTTCTCGTCAGTTGAAACTGTGGATTAGAACGATGACCCTTAGTTGTCTATCTTACAACTGGTATTATCTTATCCATTTCCAGATAGAACTTTGCTATTGATATGTCTTATCTAATGACGTACTACGAACAAAGAGGACTGAGATTATTCGATGAAAAATTCATAATATTCCAGTCAGTGACTTATTAAATTATTTAAACTTTCGTGAGACATTATAAACTTATGTAAAAACGGCTTAAACACTCACGTATGTTCGTCCTTTGGCGGCACCGACTAGTTTTGAGCTCATCGAGAGCTTTAACAGGGTGAGGGGGGAAACAAGTAGGTGCCACCACCGGAAGAACATACGTCAGTGTTCTTCATAAACGTAGAATGAAAAATAAGAAGGCTATAATATTCTTGCATATACTAGTTACTTTCCCTTCAAAGTCCCGTTAAAATCAGTCCAGCTGTTTCGAAGATTACCTGTAATAAATACAGCCTTACAGACGGGCAGACAGACAACCAAAAATTTAAAACACGTTCTGATTAATCACCAAAATTTATGGATTATGATGTCTAATCTGCCATTTTGATCTTGTTTCTCAAGTTAATTTTATTTAGAAAAAATAATATAACACGAAAAAAAGACGAATAGATTTAGTAAAACGGATCTTAATTTTTTTTAATCTGTTATATTCTAGCGATATTTGACACATTCCTAAAATCCGTTATTTTCGTTTCCTGTTTTCCAGGCGTGGGCGGACGCAGTGGCTGCGACACAGTCGGGCACGGCAACTGCGGAGCAAAAGGCCAAGGGTTCCAGCTGGCCAATACTATTGTTCTTCGGAGTTATAGCGGCAGCCCCATACATTGTACTAAGAATGCTCAATGGATTATCTTCTAGCATTAATGAGAGATGTAAGTATATGACACTTAAGTTGTACACAGTAGTTAGGGTAAGGCCAGACGGCGCGAGCGCCCAGGGCGCCGCTGGCACCAGTGCCGGATATAAAAGGGCGTCTGTGGGCCTTCTAACATGTAAGAAAAGTGGGCGCCGCAAAATGTCGCCAAGGGTGCTGGATATGGTAAAACCCGCCCTATTTCTGTATAGAGATAACCTTGAGTGCAAAATGAAAATTTGGCTTTTATCTATTTATCATTTAAAGAACATTGAATTAAAAATATAACCTTAAAATTTATTCATCACACGAATAGGAAGGTTTTATTTCTTTGCTAAATAATTAACAATTTAATTAATATGTTTTATCTTACATATAAGTAGATATTTGGTTTGCAATTCGCATTATAATCTGTTCATAATGTGACGTCATTGGGTTTGTCCTTGTTTTTGTTAAATAGCACCACAAAGACTTCTATACTTTTATAATTTTTTTACACTAAAATTAAGATTAAGATTCAATATTCGGTCATATTCATATGATATTTGATTGAAATTTAATACTTGATTTTTTTTTATGTCTATCTGCAGATATTTATACTAGCAGTCGCCCGCGACTGCGTTCGCACGAAATTAAAAAAAAAACATAATAAGTTTATGTGTTTATCCAGACTATGTTCTAAATACATGCCAAATTTCAGCTGTATCCATGTAGCCATTCTGGAGATATCCCTAAACATCCATCCATCCCAACATTCGTATTTATAATATTAGTAATAGTGATAGCTGAAATTAGTGAATTGTATATATTTATTTCAGTGAATGATCCAACATCATGGCAGAATCCACTCCGTGCCATTGCCCAATACGATTTTCAAGCAACATCACCACAGGAGATCAGTTTCAGTGCCAACCAAGTCCTGATCCTTGCGCCACAACATTTGCAAGGGAATCTCTGGAACTCTGGCTGGCTGATGGCTACCGCAGACAGACAATTTGCAGGACTTGTCCCTGTTAATTATATTAAAGTTATTAGACCTAACAACGGCGAAGTAACTCATAACGATACTGTAGAAAAACCAATAGAATCAAATCCGGAAGATTTAGATAAAATATTTAAACAAGAGTTGTGAATGCATTTTGTGACTTGATACTTTGAATATAAAGTCGATTTTTCAATATTGGTGTCTTGAACATGACTAGATTGGCCATAGACAATAAGTGTACGTCAAACTTTTTTTTATTAAAATATGTTTAGACTACAGAGTTATAAGGTTCTGACAGAATTGACTAAAATATATTTACCATATTTTTTTCAGATATGTATGAGTTTTTGCGAATGATTTATAATTTGCTTACAATGGAATAGGTTTTTTTTTCTTGGTTAAATATGGTAATTTCATGCATTATTATGTTGGTTATAAAGTGAAAATTTAATCAGTATGAAATCGTAAGTCAGTGTTCTACATCATCATCAGCTCACTATACGTTCCCACCCAGGGGCTCGGAGCCTACCCTAAGTTAAGGGTGATTAGGCCATAGTCAACAGTGTTCTACAACTATGCCAAATTTCAGCAAGATCGTTTGAGCCGTTCTGTAGATACCTTCAAACATCCATCCATCTAAACATTTGCATTTATAATATTATTATGATAAATCATGTACTGTGTATACAATATAGCTACATTTTAGACGATGGTTGTTTATTAGTGAGTTAAAAAAAAATTGACATGTGTCACAGAAATTATAAAACTTTTTATATTGCTGATGAAAAATTCGTATAGACAGAGAGTAAATAAATGTATAAAATAATTTTTAGTCCTAGATTAAATAAATTATGGTCTTTTTTACCACTATTTTATATTTTTTGGGATTGTTTAGTTATTTATAGGGTTATTCGAAGAAGTTGCAATTTTTATTAAATGTTATAAAATTATGAGAAAACGAATAAATTTTATTTGTAAAATGGGAATAAGATGTTGCATTTAAACGGCTTATTAGTTAAGTTTCTTTATAGAATGAAATCAAAGTAAACAGCTCTCATATCAATTTTGAATGTGCCAATATTTGAGAAATCACAACATGGTTAACAATAGTGTATAAAATTATAATTGTAAATATATGACAATTTTAGTCTATTTAATTTTTATTAATTGCAATAACAATCTAGAAATTCACTTATCAACTTTGTCCTAGAGTCTGCACAGCATGTACTCTTCCATTCATTCATTCCCATCGTACTATCCCATCAATCTATCTATACTTTCTCGAGTCCTTCAAAAGGTGAATACACCCTAAAACATTTCTATGTAATGTAACATTCTTACGATTGATAGCAAGTACAGTCTGCAAATAATGTGTGGTTCTTGAAAGGTTCATAGACTAGAACATGTGGTGTTGTATCTGGCAAGCGAGTCTCAACTGCTCATGAGATGTGAGAAGAGAAAATACTGTCACTCGATACTGACGATAAGACAGTAAGATATGTAAGTAACATATGTAAATAAGGAAGTAAAATATAGGATATATGTGTACTGGTGACCCCTACATGATATGAACATGCAACCTTCTGATTTGGAGTCAGAGTGACTCATTGTTCTCTCATTCCTAGTAAATACTGTAGTATATACTCACCTTAAGCCCATCCACATTCGTGAATATAAATAAAAGCCAAAAGGTAAGGTTTTAGTTTTATTGTAAATTTAGTCCTTAAGTTTACAAGTAGGGTTCCGGGAACTCGAAGGTGACTTCGCGACCCGTCAACTTCTTGTATACTGACTGGAAAGTATCCACCTGTTAAGAAAGATTCATTGTTTATTATAACATTTTGAAAGTTCCAAAATGGTGGCTTAATTTACAAGATTATATTCTTTTATTTATATGTCACTTCAAACCAATAGAAAAATTAAACAGAAGAAATTTCATTACATGAGAGCCTTTTTCATATTTATTTTCTGAAAAAACAAAGGAATTAAAGCAAAATATCTTGTCTATGGTAAACAAAGCTTAAGACTTTTTTGGAACTTTATGTGCATTAGCTTTGTATCCCTTTATTATTAGTAGTATTAAAAACATTACAATTACCTTATGTTCAATTGTGGTCTGCTGGTTCTTGTCGAGGTGCACTTTGATGAGCTGTGAGCCGTCCAGCTTGACTCGGATGCGCTTGCCAACAATCTCTGCAGGGAACACTAGATCCTCAAGGATGGCGTCATACACAGATGTCAGCGTTCTGAAAGTAGACAAAAACATGAAATATGTTTTAAAATAATAAGCTATATTTATTTACTGATGCTTTTCCCGCTAGTAATTAAATGTTGAAGTAAAATAATTTTTTTTATTATATTATATGATAATTAGTTCTTTACACATAAGGTAGAAAATGAGTAAGTGCCAACCTGATTCAGTAAATTGTCAAAAGGTCATTTTTTCAAGCCATATTACTAATAAGCTGTCTCTATGTTGTCTCCCCTAAATGTATAGTTTTGTTTTACACATTTCATCCAAAATTGAAATATTTCTTTAACAAATTTGACAAAAAGATTGTTTATAGGCACTTAACACTTGTATTTGTACCAATGAAAAGTATTCAATTCTTGGACATAATTGCATTCTTTTGTTTAAAAAAGAATTTCTCTTCTTTTCTTTCATATTAAAGAGTTGTAAAGACTCATTAAGGTCAAATTAATGGTTACCTTGATCGTGGCCTCTTCTGTTTGTTAGCAACGCGAGTCTTGTGACTGGGTTTGGGTAAGATCTTGCGGTCTCCAATGAACACAACATGTTTACCACTGAACTTCTTCTCCAGCTCACGGACAAGACGGATCTGGATCTTCTGGAAGGCCTTCAGTTTGGGCATCGGCACATAGATGATGATTGACTGAAAGTTTTCAAAAATAACAATATTTAATAGGAATATTTTTGATAAAAGTACATTAGACAATTGTATTATTATTCTAGATAGTAATATGTTTCAAAGTACTTATAATTACTTTTAATTATTGAATGTCTTAAATAGATGCAATTCAGTAGTTAAAGCATTTCAAGCTGTTCTCTAACCAAATCTATACTGTAAATATTATCTAAATGTATATAACTACTTTTGATATAATTGAACATTGAGTATTATAAAAATCATCTCTTACATGTTAAGAAAATAGCTAAGGTTAGGAAATGAAATATGTAACTTACAACTCCATTATACTGAAGAAAACTTTTTTAAAGCTGTTTGATATTTGAAGCTATTTACCTTTTTGTTATGTAGTTCAATTTCCTTAGCCTTGGTTATGTATAGCTCCCGAAGTTGAGCCTTGAGGTCTGAGTTTGTTTCCAACTCAACTAGCGCCTGCGAGATCGATGTCTCGAAGGAGTCAGCCTCCGCGGCATTCGGTTTGATGATTTTCGTACTCATCTGTAAAGCACAATCACTGAATGTATCCTTCTCGTCGAGTATTTTAGGTTAAGAAACTTTTAACACTTTTATCCTTGCAAATACAGCAAGTGTCACCACGATAACATATTTATTCTATTCCTTTATATAAAGAGCAATTATATTATAAGCAATCACAGAATTTAGAAATCCTTAGAAACAACAACAACGTTGAAGAATGATAGGTTGGAAGTCACCGAGTTTTATCTAATTAATCATTACCGTAAATGGATAAAACTATCAGTACATAAACTTCTCAATTCATTAAAAACTACAATATACATGTATTTATTTAACTATTAGATTATTTTCATAAATATAACTTAAAAACCCGAAGATTTCACTACCTTGAGAACTGAGCGGGAGCGAAAGAGACAGAAACAGAGAAACTGTCATGTCAACTGAACAGTGTGCACAGATAGAAAAATTACCCTCCAATACTTTAAAACATAGTCATTAAATAGTAAATGGTTTTTGAACGTTTTTTACTTTTTAGGTTCTCTTAAAATAAATATATTTTTTAATTTAGTTAAATTATGCGTGAAAATTTGTAAACACAAGCATTTATTTTAAAGCGATTATTTAACGGTATTCAAATAGCAACACTTCAAAAGCACAGAAAATAAAATTTAAAACCAAAACAACATTGCAAAAGAACAATTATTTAAAACATAATTATGGCTAAATAGTAATAGTAAGAGGTGTATGAAAGAAGAATCACATTTATTTTAGTAATACGGTAATCATTTAATATCAACTTCATATTTTTTAAACAACTCTGAGGGTATTTTAATATACTATCATGATATTACTTCACAAAATATTTTCAGTACCATACTGTGTATAATATAAACAAACCTTGAATCAATTTATATTGCTGGCACTTGCGTCATCAGCTATTGAAACAATGAAGCCGGAGAATATGTAAGTCAATTTTTATTTTATAAAACTTGTTTTCAATTTAACTCATACATTATTTTTATTTTTTTCCAAATAAGTAAAACATAGGGTAGTAAGTTCTTTCAGCAGATTCAAAGTAATCAAATCTTGTTGAAAAACGTATCACTTCTTGATTTTTAACACAAAATAAACAAAAGGGTGACAGTATTTATATTCTTAACTAAGGTACTAGATTTGTAGAGTAAATGTGAATGTAATTTCACTTTATTTTCTCAGTAACTATGACATTCAGAGTCATTTGTTAGCTACTAAGGGCATCCCCTAGTATAGATTTATTTTAAGATCAAGGTATAAGTAACAGCAGTCTATCATGCACATCATGTTTTTGCTTGAAAAAAAGTTATAGCAAGTGTTTTCGAACATAAGGTTTGCTGTAAAAATTCTTAAAGGAAATTTACAAAAATTAATTATTAAAAGGAGTCAATTTTAATTTGAAATATATATTTTATTTTTCTTTATTCTTATGTATATTTAGTTTGTAGATTATCTTATAGTTCCTCTGTTATATAAATTCAAGATTTTCTGTTCAAATCACATCACTTTGATTATATGTTTTATAAAACCAAGTTTAGTATACTATGAAGAAAATTGTTATCCTTTATTACGGTATTCATTAGATCATTGATTGAGTTCTATGAGTTTCCGGACCTAACATATTGTGATATTTTATAAGGTAAATGTCTAAACAGGACATGCTTGGACTTAAAACATAATCGGTTTGAAAACTCCATTGTATATTTTATGTGCCGTAAACCAGTTACATAGTATTTCAGGAATTTAAGCTCTAAACTTTTCAGATTTCAGTGCGCTAAAATCCCTTAAGATATAAGAGGTTAATTATACTGAAGCAGTATTTACTTAATGTATTAAAAACAGAAAAAAATATGATTTTAGGCTGCATTTTGTTAATGTTTGATGTGAAGACTATTATGTGTTGATAGTTGTAAGTAAAATACAATTTAATATCGATCAATCAAGGATTACTGTACATATGTCATATTCTAATCAAATATTACAAAATATATGGCACTCAACAACTTGTGATACTAGCCGTGATAAGGAAATCAGCAAGTAATAATAGGAGCGCAAGTGTGTAGGGACACCATGTTCTTTACAACAGCGGGAAAAACTTTTTTTTTTTTAAAAATGTGTTTATTATTTCAAGATGAAATACCAAAGACACATCTTTTCTTATACTCTTCTTTCCTTAAGGACTAGCCTGTGCGATTTTTAGTTCTGCGTTTTCATCATTTATACAAGACACAAATTGCAAGAAAATAAAAGATTAAAATGTCTCATCCGTCTCTCTGTATTAAAAGAAGCAAAGCATAGCTCTCTTCTAAATCCAATCGAACCAAATGGAATTTAGCCGACTAATCATTCTAGCGATAGATATGTTAAGTAGAAAAAAATATTTATCGAAATTAAAAATTACTTTCTTACAATTTTGGTCACCCTACATGGGACACAATTCGATAACTCAACAGTGAGCTGGCAGACTTGGTCACAACCATGCGTGTCAATTAAATTCTATTGTTAAATTATTTTAAATTCCGAACACTTTTTTTTAATTTTTTTTGTGAACAGGAAGTCTTTATCAACTGCCAGAGATATCTCGTAAGTTTTATTTTTTTAATTTAGAAATTAGATTCATAAAGACGTCTGCGTTGAATATTTTTTAGTTTAATTTAGATAACATTAATCCTAAATGATTAATGCCTAATTCTTTTATGACTTTATTTGACTTTTCGCTACTAAACTGAATACTTAAATTTCACTTTTCATGTAACAACATCGTGTTGAGATTAATCTGAAGTGGCAATACAATTACACTTGAGAATGTTACAACGTAAGGTCAATATATTGATATGATAGCATCTCTCGTTCATTGACGCAACTGTGTAATAATTTAACAGTATTGAGAGAGATTTAAGAAACTAATCTGGCCCGTTTGGCAAAAGGTGACCTCTCATTGGGCCAGTTAAATATGTGGGACTATATTAATTTGTTTTGTTAGCAAACGGAAAATGTGTTACGCGTTTTACTATTGTTCTGCCAATCAACAATGTCAGTGACGATACTAAGCGAATCGTTATTGTTACCCAGAATCGATAATGTATGTATGTTTCTCGGGAAAATTTAATTTTAGTAAAGTCGCCATTATAGTAAGATTCTCGTCGGTCTCGATGCAATCTACTAAAGATATGGGATAAGGCCATCTAAACTCTCTCGTTGGCCAACTTAGACTATAACAGTGGTAGAGCCCGCTTTAACATCTTCGCACGAATTGGCCCGGCTCTCCCGGTGAAATACCACGACCCCACAGAAGACGGGCGTGAAGTGGAAGCTATTCCGCGTTTCGTCTGATGAGTGTGCGTCCCGGAGGCCTAATTTAGTTCTCTTTCCCTTCCCAACCTCTTTCTTATAAGGAAAGGATGGGAAGTGTAAGTGGACTTTCTGGACGTGAAGATGCGTAGAAAGGGAAAATATTTTCTATCTGTGCACCCTCTCCTCCGTCGATTAAAGGTAGGCAACGCATATGCAATTGCGTATGTCCATGGCCAACGGTCACTTCGCTATTTCAGCGATTTTAGATGACCGCTCGCTCGTTTGCCACCTTGTGATATAAAAAAAAACTCAAAGCTATTGGATTTTCAAATGGTTTTTACCTAACGATAGTTTTTCATGATTGAGGAAAGCAGGTCCTTTATAATTATTAACAATATTGAAATGTCTTTAATCTTACTAATATTATAAATGCGAATGTTTAGAGGGATGTACAACATAGTCTGGAAAAACATATAGGTTACTTATTAGGTTTTTTTAGTCTGCGCAGAGGGAGTCGCGAAAGCTAGTATGATGATATTGTATGTTATCTAACATAATTAATACATTAAAATGTTATGTATTCGAATTATCAATATTACAATATCTATGTGTATTTTCTTCGCATATATTTTTATACATTTTGAGTTTTGGCCTAATGGATTGTCTATGTTAATTGTTATCGTAAATATTCAATTTAAATGTTAAAAAGTTTTTTTCCATTGATATACGTACGTTGTACGTGTCTGAAAGCAAATTTTCTTTTTTGAAGAAAAGCAAAAAACAAACCTAAAAAAACTAAGTTAAAAATTATTTTATAGTCATCGTATATTTTTTTATTAAATTGTATGTATAGTATACAAAATGAACATAAGGATTAAAACAAGTTATCTGTGTTTTGTTAAAAAGGACAGGGATGACGATTTTATACAGATTTCGATCATAGAAACCGACGATCAAACGTGGAGAATAAACCTATCTTTTACGAACAACTCTATGCAGGTACACATTGAGCTTAGCTGTGACTCGGTTCACTGATCTGCACACTTGTGAGCTGTGAACTGATCTGTAGGTCATAAATTATAGTTATGCCATGTAACACAAAAGTGACATGCATCATTTACCCATTCAATAGAAACGCCAGGTACATAATCACGTGTTTGTGACACGTGTTAACAATAATGTTTACGGAAAACATTAAGATTTTTTTTTTAATTGTGTAAATCTTCTATAGAAAAATGGTTATGTATTCGTATAAATGCCAATCCATTTAAAGGTAAATGCCCCAATTGACTACTACAATAACGTCAATTGAAATGAACTAGCTTTGATATTTATGTCTTATGTAGGACATAAATCATTTGACTAACATCTTTTTAAACTTTTAAAAGTAACAAACAATTGTGTTACGTCCTGTTGCGACATTGTCGGCTTGAAAATAAAAAAAACATAAACTAAGTAAATTGGGGCCAGCGATAAAGTCGGAGCGGTTGTTGGGGGGCCACAGGTCTGTGAATCTCATAACGAGGGAACCGTAGAAATCTCGCCCAGGGCGGTAGTAGAGCGATAACAGTTATTTTACTAAGACACCACAGCGTTATTTTAGACTGTAATCTATCTAAATGCCATTCATCCATTCTGCGTTCTGGAGTAATGTGGCAACAAATATCCATCCATCCATACATTTGCATTTATAATATACTACCAGTCGTCCGCGTCTCCGTCCGAGCGGAATTAAAAAAAATTATAAGTGTCCTTCCAAACTACGTTCTATATGTATGCCAAATTTCATCAAGATCCGTTCAGCCGTTCCAGAGATACCCTCAAACAAACATCCATCTACCCATCAAAAAGTTTAGACGTTATTATATAGTATCCTTTGGCGCGAATGGCGCGCTTTCGTTACCAACTCAAGTGTCAGATTGATTAGTGGAGGGGCATAAACGTCGACATTTTAGTAAGGCTAGTGTTGCGCCAGTACACCAGCACAGTGTTGGATTTTCTTCCTAACAGTAGGAAGTAATAATTAGTGAGATTTTGTTTGTTTCAGCGTTATAATGAAACCAGGAATCTTAGTAACTGGTGGTGCTGGGTACGTGGGATCACATACAGTCGCGGCTCTCCTCGAGAGACCTAACACAGATATAGACGTCGTTGTAGTGGACAATCTCTCAAACGCGTACAAATCTGAAGGACAGAAGAAACCAGAAGCAATTAGCATTATAGAAGAATTGACGGGGAAGACGATACATTTCTATGATGTTGATATCAGAGATGCGAATGCTTTACGTGAAGTTTTTGAAAAGGTAAGATTTAGTATTACATCAGACAATAATACAAAGGTAGGGTTATGATACGTGTAATTTTACCAAAGGACGAACAGCTTTTGTTTTATAAGAGAAGGGGGCAAACGAGCTTCGGGAACACCGAAGTGTTCCCGATGCGTTACTGGTCTTTGACAAGGTGATACGCTCGCTTCTTGTAGGATCCTAAGTCTTAGGTGCTGGGAAATACCGCCGAGAACAGGCCATTCCACAAAGTGATTGTGCGAGGCAGAGAGTTACGCGAAAATCGCATGGTTGTTGATTCCTTGCTCATCGAGATGGTGGAGATGGAACCAGATGGTCTGTCGCGTTCTCCGATGACGGAACTCTGCAGCAGGAATTGTTCCAAATAATTCTTCAGTGATAGCCGTAAAGTATTAATCCGATAATGTCACCATGACGTTATTATGTGTTTTTAAATTCCAGCACGACATAACCTGCGTGATTCACTTCGCGGCGCTGAAGGCAGTGGGTGAATCTGTGCAGAAGCCGCTCGAGTACTACCAGGCTAACATAACTGGCACATGTACACTATTCGACGTAAGACAATGTTAATAATCGGCTACTAAAAGTACAGATTTACGTCCTAAATAATAATTAAAATAGTATTGTACTTTTCAATAAGTTTGACTTTTTGAATTCATATTTCTTACTTTTTACGCCCCTACTCTTAAAAATGTTTTATGCGCAAATCCTTCGAAATTCCGAACCGCTAAGTTTGATTTTCCCTATTATAAGGTAATGCGTGAATTCGGCGTCTACAAGTTGGTGTATAGCTCATCTTGCACGGTCTATGGGGAACCGGAGTCATTGCCGCTGGGTGAAGGCCATCCCACAGGACGCGGTCTCGCCAGCCCATACGGCAAGTCAAAGTACTTCTGCGAGGAGATCATGAAAGATATCTGCAGGAGTGATAGGGTAAGTCAATGGAAACGTTGAACCTTGCAAAAACAAATTATTATCAATGTTTTTACCTTACTAAGACCTTTCCTTTTAGCAAAAACACTTGGGTTTATCTTGTAAGGTTAAGCTAATTCTTACGTAATGTGTAAAGATAAAAATATTTTTTATTTATGTATGGTAAACCTTCAGTCACTTAAAAAACAACTTGATCTTGTAATGTCAAGAAGAGTCAAACATACTGATAGCTGCCATAGTAACTAGCTGTTACCCGTGACTCCGTATGCGCGGAATTATTATAAAAAAAGTATAATGAGTAGTAGTAGCCTATGTGTTCTTTCAGACTGTGTCAAGCATGTGTAAGCATGCAAAATTTCATCGAGATCCGTGCAGCCATTTTGGAGATACCTTCAAACAAACATCCATCCATTCATCTAATCATTCGCATTTATAATATTAGTAAGATGTAACATAGGGTGTTGTCATGGTGGGTAAAGTGTCATATATAAAATTACTTCAAATAAGGTCATATTGATGATAGCTGCATCCCCCTCTAGACTTAGCCTAGGTTAACATCTGGCTTCTGTCGTACAGAAATGGTCAGTGATATCTCTGCGATACTTCAACCCTGTGGGCGCACATCGCAGCGGTCGTATCGGGGAGGACCCCGCCGGTATACCCAACAATCTCATGCCATTCATCGCTAAGGTAAGATACACGACTCATACAAACAACTCCTCATACAAATATTTATTGGATACTACCTTGACTACTACCATTTCAAGACCAAGATAAATCCGTTCAGCCGTTATCGAGTTTTAGCGAGACTAACGAACAGCAATTGATTTTTATATATATTGATATAAAAAAACTAACTATCCCCGCAACTTCTTCCAGATTATGTTCTACATCTGTGCCAAATTTTACCAAGTTCTATTCTGGAGACCGTTCTGGAGATACCTTGTAACAAACATCCATCCATCTAAATATTCACATTTATAAAAATAGTTCGAAATAAGATAAAAAAAGACAAATTTCAATAGCGATTTTTATAAAATTAGTAGCGCCATCTATTATGTTTTGGTGTCAGGTGGCTGTGGGTCGTTTGAAAGAACTTCAGGTGTTTGGTTCTGACTATCCTACAATAGACGGTACTGGTGTTAGAGACTACATCCACGTGGAGGACCTCGCGGATGGTCATGTGAAGGCCATCAAACTCTTCAGTCAATCAGGATTTAATGGCTTTCATGCTGTTAACTTGGGTATGATATTTTCTTTGTCATATATTTATTTGTGTATTCAGCTTAACAATGGTAGAGCCCGCTTCAAAAACTTCGCACGAATTGTACCGGCTCGCCCGGTGAAATACCACGACCACACAGAAGACAAGCGTCAAGTGGAAGCTATTCCAACTACAGTCTGATGAGTGTGCAACCCGGAGACCTAATTTAGTCCTCTTTCCCTTCCCACCCTTTTTCTTATAAGGAAAGGATGGGAAGTGGAAGTCGACTTTCCGGATGAGAGGATGTATGGAAAGGGAAAATGTTTTATTTCTGTGCATCCTCTCCTCCGTCGATTAAAGGTAGGCAGCGCATATGCAATTCCGTATGTCCATGGGCAACGGTCACTTCGCTATTCCAGGTGGACGCTCGCTCGTTTGCCACCTTATGATATAAAAAAATCCATCCAGTGTGATTGTTATATAGAAATAATTAATATTAATCTAAGCTATACGACTTTTTTTTATAATTTTTTTTTTCAAAAAGTGAACTTCATTTAAAAAAATTACAACTATAGTTTTAAAAATGGTTCAATTTAAAGTAATTTTTTTTCAATGTTATATTACTGATTGGTTTAATATTAGTGTTTTTTTTAATATACGAAGTATTAGAGATGACAAATGATTCTATGTGCAGGCACAGGCACTGGTTACTCAGTGTTACAGATGGTGAAAGCATTTGAAGAAGCCAGCGGCAAGAAAATACCTTATAAAATAGTTGGCAGGCGCGAGGGAGATATCGCCGCTAACTACGCGGACGTCTCGCTCTCGCACAGGATGCTCGGCTGGCGTGCGACAAGGACGCTGCGAGACATGTGCGCTGATACTTGGCGTTGGCAAAGCAACCACCCAGACGGGTATAAATCTACATAAATATATCTAAATATTTTTATAGATGTCTTTAGAGCAGGGATTTTAAAAGTGATCCAGGATTCTTAAGAGTCGTGTACTGTAGATGAAAAAAAAATAAGAGTTCAAAAATTGAAGTTTACTAGAAAAAAAGATTAAGAATTTCTGCTTTAAAGAGTACTAGTAACTCAAATTATAATTCCAATAGTCTATGGTATGTGTTTTATCTATGATTATACTCTATGACATATTCTTTGACGTCAAAGAGTAGAACTTATAGACTTACTTAATTTCTTTTTAATTAATCTGTAAATGTCTTAAAGCCATTAGTTATTTTGTAATTTAATTTTTAACAATGTTCCTACTGAGTTGCCATGTTTTTTTCAATTTACCAAATACAACAATTGATATTTAATTTTTATATAAACAACGTATAAAGTTTTGATAATGTATTTATTGGTTTTGTTAACTTTAATGAAATATGACTTAGGTCCACTAACCTCTATATAAGGATTGTTCTTTGCTAGTATTTGACAACTTTTGCTTAATTCCAATTTAAAGGCACCTGTTAAAGTTTCTGACATCTCTATTAGTTCCAAACCTAACCACCAATCGCAACCGACAGCGCCAAAATGGCGAAAATCAAATAAGCACAAAATATCATGGTTATAGCCTGTCCATATGTAGAGGTCAGTCCTTTGGCGTTTGTTAAATCAAATTGTTTATTTTATTTATTAATTTAAAAATAAATTTTTGCAATATGAAAGCCAAAAATATACCAAAGCCTTCAGTGAGCTATGAAATATTTTAGTTTTTAAGTTCTTTATTAATTAATTAATTTCTGTTATTGCATTTAAAAGTTTGGACTTTAATGTCTATTATTTTTTTAATTATTAATGTTTACATAAATTATATATTTACTAGTTGAGATGTCTTCAATGTTTTTATCTTCAAATAAAATTAACATGGGGTGACATGTTTTTGCACAAGTATTTCGACAGTGGAAACACCGACGATGTTTGTTACTGATTCAAAATTTGTAAGTAAATTGTAAAAAAAAATCGAAATTTTTATTCCAAAAAATATCATTCCTATTTTTTATATTTTTATTAATTGTCGTAATTTATTTAAAAGGTGCTGCTTTTTTTTCTAAATATATTGTTTGAATAAATGTAATTTATTAAAAAAAATAACCATTTGGTTTTTATTTACATTAGCTAATAAAATATTTAATGAAAAAAAAACACAAACTTCATAATTATTAACGTAATAATTTTAATCTGATATAAAAAAAAATAAAACAAAATTTTGTTACGGTATTTTTATATTGTCTAAAATTACAAATCTGTTTTTATAATTTCCATAATTATTACAAACTAATTTGAAGTGAATCTATTTCAGCACATTTCATTGCTTCAGCTCGCGTCTAAATATATTCTGATTTACATTTTTACAACTATCATTAAAAACAAAGGGAAGGTAAGATGTATGCGGAGGGCAGCAGATTCTTTTACCATGGGAGTTCTCTATTAAACACATACAACAAATATATAGTTATCTCGTTCACTCTCTTTCAAAAAAAAACAGAGATGACGCTATTTTTGTTATTTTGTCGTCTAGAGAACTTCGTACATGCTGCGCAGATGACCTTGAAGAACCAAAAATAATGAAACATTCTATATACTCTTATTTCAGTACTGGTCACAAATTATTAGGTTACATTCTATGTATATTCTTTATTAAAAAAAAAAAAACAAAGAAAAAAGGGGAAATTGTTGCTGAATGTTAACAAAATTAGCATAATATAACTAAAAAAAAATAATGCTTACTACTAATACAGGATGTTTCTAAATATAAATCGGTAATTTTTATATTTTTTCAAACACCTGTATAAACTAACTTATAATTGCACCTACAAGAGTAGACAAGTAGAAAATTATACCAAATAAAAAAAACTTAGACAAACATTCGAAAAAAAAATTAAATTAGATCTCGACTAAACGCAAAAAAAAATATTAAAAAAATTTAATTTACATCGCAAAGTGCCGAAAGTTAAAAAAAAAACCACACACACAAGATTCATACATACTGGAAGATCATTCAATACAATTTCTTGGTCAGAATGTACGATGTTCAATGTTATACAAAACTTTATGATTTTTTTAACGTCCAGAAAATTCCAATTGAATCGAACACCGACATTTACATAGTGAGAAAAAAAATACATAAAAATTAGACATTTCTTTACATAAACACTGCTTAGTGTTACTTTAAGAAGGTAATTATTGCTAATTCATTACTTAGCTCTAAACATCAACGACTTACTGCTAAGTCAACTGAGCCACACCTTACACAAATCGACACATCCAACGAAAAAAGTTACATCTCACAAGATGTGGCTCTTTTCAATGAA